TTTATGCTGGAGCCGAGTTATGAATGAAAAGTTTGTACTGCCAACGTGTTGCTTGAGGGGAGCAATACTTAGTGGGGGTACCTTTGATGTTTCGTGGGGGGACTTCAGTTTCAAGTCTATACATCAGGATTCTGGGTTTTAAGAAAAGTTCCGGAGCCTGGGGGATGGGAAATAATGCAGTGATTTTTAGGTATTGGAAGGAGGTTGATAAATCGAAAACTTATTAGAGTAAACTGGATAATTAAATGCCTCGAGGGTGTCACGGGGGGGACTAGGGGGAGCAGAGAGCAGGGGGCGTTCCCTGAGTGCCTAGCGGGCAGCGTTTGGCCATGAAACCATCGCCCACTTGTCCGCAGTGAGAGGTGTCAGAGGCCTGCCTGTGCGTTCTTGGTGTGATCGAGAGGGACTGAGCTGCTCTCCAGATCCGAGGCGAGGTTTGTCAGGAGAGGTGGCCTGCAGCGGGGAGCTGACGACGCGGTTCAGGTGATATGGGTTTGGAAATTCTCTAGTGAGGCTCCTACGCTCTAATTTCAGAAAGATGTGTCGCGTTTGTTTTCCCTGCCGGGAGGTGTGTATAATCTCCTAAAAGGAACTTTTAGGTTAAGTAACTATAGCATTTTGAAATCTGTGAGAAATGAGCTATCTACATATGTTACCCTTCTGTCTATATTGTGAGTGTGTATACACATAATGATGTGTATGTGTATGCAAAACGTGGGAGTGGGGTAAGAAGGGCTTAAAAAGTTAAACTTAACTGGAAAAGAAAGTGAAGAGTTAACGTTCTTCTCCCCAAAGGGGATAACAGTGCTTATAGAACTAAATATGCTTGGTGTGTTGAGGTTTCTCAAAAAGGGTAGGATTTAGGAATTACAGGTATTTAGAGTACATCAATGTTTTCAAATCTTGCAAGCATTACTAAAAGCTAGAAAAAGGGAGTAAGTACATGGAAAATTTATAGTAAAGAAAGAATAATTTAAATGATTTAGAAAGAAAACAATTTGACATTTGGAAAGGTCTGGATGTTATTTTCTGATGCGCTGCAAATCTTTTAAATCCTGTAATTAATAACAGCACAGAATAAGTTGCAGTTAGTAAATGAGGACAATTAAAATATCATGTTTGGAAAAGATATCTTTTGAACTACTATTTGGTACTTTGGATGTTTATTATGGAAATTATGATGACTGAAAACTTGTTGTTTAATGTATTTGCTTTTACCACAAATAATTGGTCCTCCTTTTCCTTTTAAACCACTATTCCAGTTTGGACCAATTTACCCAAAGACCAAATCACTCATGTGCCTTCTGGAAAGCATTTCCATTTAACCTACTTAATAAGAATATTGCATTTCCAAAAGGACAAATAATTTAGTCAGTTGTAAAACTTTCTTGTAATTTATTTATTCATCCATTTTGTTTGAATGAGGCAAATCTCAAAAAGAGCTCATTTTCTTGGAATATGTCATTTTCTGTGTGGGGAAAAAGTGAATGTTTTCTTTTATGTTTCAATCACAAACAGGTGCAGGTAGAGTGGGAATCCTGAGTCTGATCTTTGATAATTAGACTGCCAGCTAGAAGGAATGATGCTTTCCCAGCTCTCCTGAATTGATCATCTTCACCCAGAATGGACACGGCTAGATGCTCAGAGGATTTTGCAAAAGGAATTAGGAGATTTAAATGAAGTACCAGTTTATGGTTAGGAAGGAAGTATTTTCTTTCCCTTTTTTTTTTTTTTTTTTTTAAAAAACCTCAGTCTTCCTATTTCTTTCCCTCTGCAATTCAGCCTTTTGGGCTGGCCTTCACTGGGAAGACAGACCAAACGAGAGTGTTTGGCACATTACACTGCCATCCTCAAAAAATAATGATGGCTCTTCTGAAATTAAAAAGGTAATTTTATACACTGTAACAGACTTTTAGGATTGAGTGTTTTATGACCACTATTATGTCCATATTTCTGGTAGACAGTGTTGCTTTATGAAGTTACTGACAAATAATAATAATGATAAATAATAACTTATTATATATATTTGGTGTATGTTTGGAATATATATGTATTTTTAGGAATTTTAAATCATAAAGCCAACTGACCGGATAAGTTGTCTAACTAACTAGTTTTGGTGATACACATAATTCAGATTTGTATTAATATCAACATCTAAAGATGTTTTATGGCTATATGGCTTTCATTTCTTTTCATTAGAATTATTTCTATTTTGAATTTGTTTAAATATTACAACATATTATACTGCAATTTACACCTGCTCAGTGGGGAAGGTGTAGGTTATTCTTAAATAGAGATATGGAGAAATAGCTAACAAGGAGAGTCATTTGAGAAGCATATGGACATCATGAAATCCTTCTGTATGTAGCATCTGCACCTTCTCATTAGTGAAATATTGTAGTTAAGGACATTTTTTATTACATTCAAGTGTGGCTTTTTATTTTTGCTTTGATGGTTTTTTTTTTTGTTTTAAAATGTAATTCTATTAATGTTTAAATTGGTGGGGGGCTTTTATTGTTTGAAGCCCTTTCTTTTCAATAAAGATGTCATACTTAATTCTTATTGCACACATCCGCAGATAGGTACAATTGTTTCCTAGCTTGTTATTATAACTCTTAACCGTTCTCAGATATTCTTCAAAACATTTGAGAGGCACGTAGGAAGACATATTGTTCTCATTTTCAGAAGAAGGCAGCAGGTACCCTGATAGATCCAAGGTCACATACTAGTGAATCAGTGTGAAGCTGAGGGTAACATCTATATTTCTTGTATTCTGTTCACAATAACAAGCTGCTCCTGTGGCTATGTTGAACGATATTTTCAAAAATTTGTACACTCTTGGATTTTTAAAGTGCTTAGCTTTGTAGATATGCTGATCAGATTTTATATCTGCCAAGAGGGTCATAAGGGAAGGGGCCCTTACTGGGGCCTGCTGATGGGGGAAGAACTGTGACCCCAGTAGCTAGTGCTAAAACAAACATACACATCTCTGAGGGGTATTCATTCTTGCAGTCAATTCCTGTGCCACACATCTCTCTGTCCTCACTGGCCCAACCTTATAAATCACATACTATCCTTTTAATGGTCAAGGCTGCTTTGAATTTTATCAGCACCCTCATCAAGCTTGAAGATCATCAGGCTACTAGTGAGAGCTCAGAATGTGATTTTTGAGAAGACAGAATATTGACTGAGGACCGTAATGGACCGTCCACTCCAGAGCCAGCCAGTATCGATTAGAGATCATGTTTTTCTGGGTGTCAGGACACCTATCTTCTATTAGCTCTGCTTCTTTGGTTGAGCTTAAAGAACTCAAAAGTGGACAGAGGGTTTCTGCAATTATCTGGTTGTTTCTGTTCATGTATACATTGTATCTAGATAAATCAGACTTAATAATAAAACAAAAGAAAAAAAGAAAGGATAGCAACTTTTTCTGTGGAGAAGGTACTCATGACTTTTTTTCATTTTTTCAAATTCCCTATTTTTCAGATCTCACTGGAATTTTTCAAGGTAATTGCCCACATGATTTATAACAGCCAAGACTTATGATATTGTATTGTTAGATTCAGAAGTGGAATACATTATCCACGATGGACAAGAAAGCATTGTATTTTCATAGAAAAGAGTATTACGTAATGTTATGCAGGCTTTGTGTATTTGATGAAAATACTTTCGTCATTTTCTAATAAGGAGATAGTACCAGCTGTTCTCTACTTTATTAAGTTTTATTTATTTACTGGCCTTTCCTTAAATGTATGGTTTATAGGAGTTCATCCAAACATTGTAAGTGTGAAATACTGAGAAAAGTTACTTTGCAAGTGTGGTTTGCCATTTACTGTAACAAATTACATTTAGAAATTACATTTCCTCAAAAAGAGGAAAACACCCATTTTAAATATTTTTTGCTGTACCAGGGAGAGTGTAACATGCTGTTGGTGAAACTGAAATGAGTTGAAATTGCTGGAAATGGTAGTTTGTTCCCATTTCTACAGAACCTATGATAAGATATGATTAGTGTGGACTAGTCTAGTTTGAACGGAATAGTGATGAGTGGAATTTGAAATGGCCATCAAAGGAAGGATAAGATTTGGTTCACTCAGATATCACTCAAGATATTTGACAGCAAGTCATTGAAACTAACTGTAGTTAATTTAAGCATTAAATAAATGTTACGAGAGGATAATTGACTCTATTTGTTTTCTGTTGCTCTGTAACACATTGCCACAAATTTAGCAGCTTGAAACAATGCACATTTATCACCTCATTTTCATTATTAAGGAGTCCATATATGGCCCAGTCACATCCCGTGTTCAGGGATCTCAACAGGTCTTATTAGGCCTGCTGTCCTGAGTTTCACTTAGGGTAAGATCTGCATCTAAACTTCCTTAGATTGTTGGAAGAATTCATCTCCTTGTGGTTGTAGGACTGAAGTCTAGTTTCTTGCTGATTATCAGTCAGGGACCACACAGCTTTTAGAGGCTGCCTGTTGTTCTTGACCATGTGACCCTCTCCTAGGCACTTTTACAATGTGGCAGCCTACTTTTCAAAGTCAGCAATGAAGAGTTGTTGCTACAGTACAAGACCATCTTTTATAATGAATGGGCGTGACATATCACTTTTGTCATGTAACATAATCTAATCAAGGCTGTGACA